AACCCACCCGCACATATTCTCATAAAATAAAACATAAAACCGAGTAAAAACGAATGTTCCAAGCAGTAAAAACAGTTTGATTGAAAGACTATAAGATCAATTTGATGAGGTTTTGTAGATTTTTGTCACGACAGACAAAACAACAGAGGGAAAGTAAAGAAGTAAAAAGGACCTACGAGTGGACGCGGGCTGTACTGCGCACAGACATATCTCAAAGGTCGCCGAAAAAAAGACTTTCGTCAGAATGCAATACTGCCCGCGTGGAGCCCTCCAACCACCCCCATGTCGTCTTCAGCTTTGCAACCCGGAGCTAATTGATTGGTTGAGTCTTTATTGTTTAACGAACAGCAATATCGGCACATTTTGGGTCACGTAATGCCCCACGCACACTACGAACATTTGTCTCACGACGCAGTGGAATCAAATGCTCGTCAATTTTGGGGCATTTGGAGTTTTTGGTATAATCTTTAAGCGTGTTCATTTGTCTTGCTTTCCGTGAAAAAATGATCCATCTACTTTTAATACAAGCCAAGATATTTGCGTTTGAAGGAGGTGGGAGTCACCTGGTTTCAGAATCAAAATTATCGAAAAAATGGCCGCGAAAGTTTGGTGACTTCCATAGCTCAAGAGGCCTTGGAAACTGCAAATTTACAATTTATTTTAGCCTTTAATCAACGTTTTCCCATAAAATCCACACATAAAAGTGTTTTTGAATGAACATACAAGGTGCTGAGGCCAAAAAACCCCCACAAATTCAAAAGATATTTCCAAACTGGCTGAAAAATGCCGACTTCTCGAATTTCATTATGTTGACGAGCGCCTGATTTCACCACACTACGAACATATTTTTCTCTCGTCGCACAGCTGCCAAGTATGACAACACTTAGCGGCGAAGAGAACGGAACAGGAGGAAAATACCTCACTTCCATACCCACAGCCATGTGATGAATATACGGAAAATGTGTTCCTAGCGAGCACGAGGGGACTATATAAAAAGCGCAGACAATTAAACCAACAATCCTACAACAACAAATCCCCCCCCCCCCACCAAAAACAAACCAACCCACACACACAACCCTAAAAAAAAAGGAACAAAAAAATAAAAATTACCCCCCCCCCCCAAAAAAAAATATATTTTGAGAGAAAATAAAAAAACAAATGGATAAATAAATTGATATATAAATTAATTAATTGATTAAATAAGTAAAATTAATTAATTAACTAATGAACCAATCAACTAAAACAAAGAGTAAAGTAAACAAATAATGATAAAAACAAAATAAAGCAAAAACTAATAAATAAATAATTTACAAAAAAAAAAGAAGTGAGGACGGGGTTACACCAAAATAACAAAATCTAAATAATTTACACACAAAAAACAAAACAAAAGTGAGGACGGGGTTATACTCACTGTTCAGAACATCGCTCATCTTCGGGTAGTGGAACTCGTCTCGGAACGCCCTCAGGGGGTCCCGGCTGTCCATGAGTCTGGCAAACTGCTCGTCCGCCATGTCCAGCCCAGACTCGGCACACGCCTTCTCCAGGTCTTCCAGTGGGTGGTGCTTGGCCATGATGCTCTCTCGGACTCTGCTACGACTGCTGTGTTCTCGCTCCTATCTGTGCTTTTGTTTCAACAGCGCCGCTTGCTGGTCTTGTAGAAGAGACAAGAGAAGCGATATAATAATTCCTTTGTAACAGCTGGAGTCTGTCAACAGTTTCACAAGACTTGCAGAAGAGACCAAGTAACAATATTCTTTTATCTCTCTCTAAGGAGTCTTTCAGCAGTTTTATAAGACTTGCAGAAGAGACAAATAAGCGATATTCTCCTCTCTATTGTGTCTTTCAACTGTTTCACAAGATTTGGAGAAGAGACAAATGAGCGATATTCTCCTCTTTACTGCGTCTTTCAACAGTTTCACAAGATTTGCAGAAGAGACAAATAAGTGATATGTCTCTCTTCTCTCTCTCTCTCTCTCTCTCTCTCTCTCTCTCTCTCTCTCTCTCTCTCTCTCTCTCAAGTCTCTAGGCAGTTCCACTGGTTTTGGTCAAACAAACAAATAAGTGATGTATAAATGGCTCCCTCTGTATGTTGTACCGTTCAATAGCTCCAAAGGGCTCCGGTCTGCGTGCGGGAGAGACAAAGAATAAACATCTGCTGCAAAATCGTACCCACAAAACCCAGTCTGATGTATTAATTCTCTGCTTTAGTGATGTGTCCCGCCAGACTCAATTACGGCGCGCACACGGATTATCATATTAAAGAAAGGATCACGGGCCTCGCATAGTTTTACACTGTTTTTAAAAATTATTCCTCTCTTTAGAACTTTTTATTTTTGTTTCGAAACAGAGAGAGAGAGAGAGAGAGAGAGAGAGAGAGAGAGAGAGAGAGAGAGAGAGAGAGAGAGAGAGAGAGAGAGGGAGGGAGGGAGAGGGGGGGGGAAGCAGGAGCAGAGCGAAAACAAGAACAAAAACAGCTTTTACAGCCCTTTTGCAATAGTTCGCACAAGACAGTAAAAAAAAAAATCGCTGGGAAACGAATATATTATAACGTTACGTATTATGAAGAGCCACTCAGCCAGGTCACGCCCCCTGAAGCAAAAACTAAGCCATAAATGTACACTTCGTCACACAGTAGGCTACATTTCATAGTAATATACACAATGCATACGCACTGCGATTACAGAGATGGACATTTCTAGTTATGGTGATAAAAGCGTACACTAAGTTGAGATCCCTTAAAACAATAACAGACACAAAAGCACTGACAACGCCCATGTAGGTGTGTGTGTGTGGGGGGGGGGGGGGCATAGGTTGACTATCGGGAAGCAAAGCATAGCATCTGCCGTGATACTGCGCGTCGTGAGAGGGCAACTAAATGCGCAGGATCAATCCGGAGACGTCTCCGCCGGAGGTAGACCAATCAAAATACTTTGTGCCTCTAGACAAAGTTAAAAAAAATCTGGGAAGTACCAAGCAACGCCAGAAACACGGCGTGCTTCCCTTTTATAAATCCGACACACATGTTAACTTAAACATACTATATAGTTATGTGACATGCACAATCACGACTGACTGAGAAAAAAAATTACATTTTAGTTTAGTAGAGGTTTTACGGCGTTCGTAACTGCAAAAGGTCATATGAGCGCAAATTATATTTAACAAAATCGGTGAGGCAAAATATTGACACAAGGGTCAGGTTGAAAGCAATATGAATACACGAGTCGCACTTTTATTGGCAGCTAGGTTCTTCGACTCGCAAATTCCCATTTTGGTTTAGACACGGTGCAATCATTTTCAGTTGGTTTTTTTTGGTTTTTTGTTGTTGTTTAGTTTAGTTTCTGTTTTACTACGTATGTTTTTTACACACCCATTGACACAGTTTAAATGACTAATTTAGGAGGCAAACCTCGACCCTGCCTGTCAAGGTCAAGCCGGGCTATGATCAAGGATACAACATCCCAGTATCAGGGATATAACATCTCAGTATCAGGGATACAACATCCCGGTATCAAGGAAACAACATCCAGGTATCAGGGATACATCTCAGTATCAGGGATACAACATCTCAGTATCAGGGATACAACATCCCAGTATCAGGGATACAATATCCCAGTATCAGAGATACAACATCTCAGTATCAGGGATACAACATCAAAGTATCAGGGATACAACATCAAAGTATCAGGGAAAGAACATCCCGGTATCAAGGATACAACATCAAAGTATCAGGGATACAACATCTCAGTATCAGGGATACAACATCCCGGTATCAAGGATACAATATCCAGGTATCAGGGATACAACATCTCAGTATCA